AATAATTTACGTGTCGAAGAGCAAGCCTTCGGTCGAACATCTCGTCAAGGTAATCGAGGAACATCACAGATGATTCTCAGTCGAGATCGAACACTTGGACAATTGATAAGCACCTATCCAGAATATACGAATACGAAAGCCAAAATCTATGCCGATCCGATGAATTTCATTCGTGATTGGCGTGAACAGGCTGAACGAGCGTATCTCGAACGGATGTGGAGAGATGAGATTGTCGATATCAAATTGAAAGATGAATTATTTCAACGATTCTGCAAACTTCTCGATCAATTACGAAAACAGAACGACAATGTCTATCGACTTCTCAGCGTGAAAGAAGAATGGGGTCTTTGGCTGAAATCGATGGATTATGTCACACAGAATCGTCTGGCGCTTCGTCTCTTTTTGGAGAGACAAGGTTTGGCATCTGAGGATGTCACACAAGATGGTTACAGTTTCTTTCACGCTCTCTCACGACAAATCGATGGGGAACTCACTGCCGAGCAAATCAAAGATCAAGTGATTCAACACATGCTCAACCATCCTGATTCGTACACGAATGTCACTGAAGAAGAATATCATCAAGCCACGAGTGAAGCGTTGAAGATGAATTTGATCATCTATCGAACTGATTCCCGGAGTCCACATATCATTCAGAGAGAAGATGCTGTTCACACCTGTGTCCTTGGTTATGAAGTTGATTCGTATTATTTTTCTCTTCGATCGAGTCAATCCGACGATGGGACACGAATGGCAAAGCAACCTGATAAAAAACAGAAATCGAGACGTCAAAAGTTCCTCGATCAATGCAAACGTTTAGTCGATGAATCCAAAGAACAGAAAGACACTTTGAACAAACAACTCGCAACGAGAATCATCGATCATGATCTACGATCTGGTTTGACTGCGTTAGAGGAACAGATGAGCAAGGATTACAAAAAGGAAGATTTCATTCGAAATCCTTGTTATCTGTTGATGGAAGCAGAAACGATCATCGGCAAACTTTCCACCTGGTCGAATAGTGCTCGATCTTGGGTCGAAAAGCTTCCATGGACTGAAAAACAAGCAGTGACTTACAAAGATGCCGTGAATCTTCTAGAAAAAGCCATTAAACTCGACCCAATCTTCACTTTCACCGCTCAGGTGAATCGCGCTCATTTTCTCATCGATCAAGAACAATCGACGAACTTGTACAAAGTCAAAGCGAAATCGTATCTCGTTCGAGCACAAGACATCATCGGCAAACACATTCTACCTCAATTGCATAGCATGCAACTCGAAACGAAGAAAGACGATGATGAGTTGACCTATGATGATCTGGTCAATCAGATACGCTTGAAAGTGGACATTCTTCAAGTCTATCAAAGTCATGTGGGTCAAGCCATTGCCACGATCGAAGACTCACAAAAGTTTATCGATGTGACCGTGGCTGATGAAGACGGTCGAGTGACCGTGGCGAAGAAACTCTACCGTGATGAAGTGAAAACATTCCTCGACAAATCATCCGGTACGATTAGTTTGGCTTTTCACAGTTTGAAGTGTCATGACGATGTTTGGAAACATGATCAAGCTTTGCAATTACTCAAAATACTGTCGAAGGAAGATGAACGTGTGTCGATACACTTTCTCGATGGATCGAATAAGAAAATTGAAGAACTCGAATCGATCATCACTTCGGGAAAAAACCGATTGAATATTGAATATCTCGATTCGAATGAACTTCATCCGCTGATGGAATTGTCGGAAGAGATCGATCTGAAATTAACAGCCACCACAGAAGATTATCTCAAGGTGATCAAAGCGATTCAAGAACAGGTGGAATTGACCAATGATCCATCTCCGATACGAAAAGCAAAGTCATCGAAGAAAAGTTCTCGGTGGATCACGTCGATGGCTGAGAACATCGAACTCATCACGGACACGCATCGTTTACAAATGACGGTTGCTGAAGCATTGAAAAGTCTTCAAGGAGATGGCACGCGTGTCGAATCCGTTCTCTTCAAATCCATCACAAAAGAACAACTGGACTTCATCTTACCCCACATGTCCAAACCCAGTTTTGCATTGACATTTCATTCGTTGACAAACTATCGACTGAAAGAGATTGTCAAGGACGTGAAGAAACCATTCAACTACGAACTTCGAAATTTATCGACGAGTCGCGCAGAAAAACTGATCGAGAAGACCACGGATCGAAATTTTCTTCTGTTGATTGAAGATTTGTCTCCGGATCGTGCAAAGAAAATAGTGAAGAAATTCGATCCCAACGAACAAGACGTGAAAACGAGTCTCAAACGTCTCGCGGAACATTTCTCCAAAGCTGATCAAGAATACGAAGAATTGAATGCTTACGGATTGTTGGGCATTAGTCTGTTGATCGCCATCGATGAACTCGGTCCGCGTCCATGGATCAGTGCAACGATTGTCGTTACCCTCGGTGCTGGTCAAATTGTTGGCGGTATTGCACTAGCCGCATTGACCGGTGGTCTCGGTGTGAGTCTCGGTATTTCATTGATTGGTGAAGGTGTGAATGACATTGTGTTCGGTGTGCGAGGTGCTTTGTCGCGACGATTCTCCTGGAAAGATTACGCCATTCAAAAAGGTGTCAGTCTTGCTATTTGTTTCGTTTCACTGGGCTTCTCTGCCGTTGTACAAGCAGTGAAAGGTGCCCAAGCGGTCGGAGTGACCGGTGCAGCTTCACTGGTGCAAGCGACACGTCAAGGAACGATGACCATCATCAAGAACAGTTTTCGAATAGTCGGTTCGGGTGCTATCAAAGGTATTTCAAGCACTAGTTGGCTGTTGGCTTGTAAGCAAGTGGCTGTCATTTGTGCGGAAACGGGCGCTAGAGAACTGGCCAATTACTTTTCCGAGGCAGCATACCAAGGAGTTCTCTCTCAAATCAAATCAACAATTCGAAAAGAGATTGAATCGATCGTGCGAGCGAACCAAACCGATAAACATTATCAACGTATATTCAACCACGCATTGACAATCGATCGATATTACAACAAAGACGAATGGCGAAACCAGATCGAGCAAATCGCCATAAACATCCTCACCAAAAACAAAGATCAGTTTATCGAAACGGTTCAATCCTTGTCGAAAGGTATCACCAATGCCTTTCTCAATCATTCACGATCACTCTTATGTGAGACCAGTGACAAAGGCAACTACGGCGGATACGTGAAGACGGCTCAGTTACTGCTGACGATTTCGCAGATGCTCGAAGGTGCACAAGAAATCAGAACGCTGACCGATTCTTTCTACGCTCAGTACAAAAAAGAATTGAATGTGCTGGAAGAGAAAATTCCAACGATCGAAGATCTTCTCCTTCATGCTTCCAATCAGGAGATGTCGGCGTCCATGACGAAGAGCATTGTCAAAGATCTTATCAAACAATCGATTCTCACCTCCGATGGTCTTCTCCATGGTCGATTCAGTCAAGACGACGACAAGGTCGCTGATTTGAGTAATGCGGCCAGTTTCTTGCAGTCGTCCGACGGACCTGCACGAACACCGAAAGAAAAATTACTCAGTCGATTACGAAAGGTCACATTCGAAGAAGACCAACATCGAAGCTGCGCTGAAACTGTTCTGATTAAGATTGTCGGTGTCCCAAATCAGAGATCTTTGCGTGTCAGTATGTTCCAGAAGAAGATTGTCGACATGCTGGTCGATCAAGTTTGTGCGATTATCTACGGAACGATGGTCGCACCCATGATGAATTATGTAAGTTCTCGAGCAATTGCTTCATTGTCGGCGGCTGCCCAACTTCAAATGGATCCCAATGGTACAGTGACGGAACAACTGATGGAAGAAGGTGCAAAGCGTTACATTCATGGTGTTGCGAATGATTTCGTTGACAAGTATCACAAAGGTGAACTTCAAGTTGATCCGAATGCCAAAGAAAGACTCGACAAACTCGTCGAACGATGTGAAACGGAAGGTGGAAAACCAGCGAATATAACCGAAGAATTGGCTCTGAACGTCAAGGGTGGCAAACAAGGTGGTGTTATCGAACTGTGTGTGATGGCGATGTTGACCAAGAAGCCGATCTCAGTGCTTCAACAACAATTGAATGACGGATCGAGTGAAGGCGATGGAAGCATTCAGATGGTTTACACGCCACCCACGATTGACAAAGCGACGGGAAAAATGATTGACGGCCATTACGAATTGGCGGGGGGTACGACTGCTAAAGGTGGTCCAAATGATTGTTTGTACACGACTATTTTGAGCAAAACACCTGGTCACTTTCCATCGGTCGATGAAATGCGAACGCAATGCGCTGCATTCATATTGACCAATCCGAACTTCATATCTGGAATTCATCCGGCTTTGAGCATCATCAATCAGACTCGAAATCCGCTTCGTTGGAAAGAATTGATGGGAGAAGGTGATGCAAAAAAAGCTCCCTTTACCTACTCAGACGAAAAGCGTCATGAAGCTGCCACCAACTTACAAGATGCCAATGCAAAAGTGGTACAGGATATGTTAGACTACGTGGATAGTTCTGAGCTGGATGGGGTTTCAGTCGATGCCAGGAATTGGATCAAATCGATTATCGAGACAGATTTGGCGAAGTTTCACGAGCAAAATCCGCAAGGAGTCGTTGAAATCGAATATAAGCTTGTGGTACCAACCCATGGAAACGGGCCGGACATAAAGCTGGGCTTCTCGATCAATGCCGATGAGGCTAATCCAGATCTAAAGCAAGATCCGCACTATGGCTGTAAATTTTACAAGAAAGGAAAAGATCACAAAAGCCAATGGGTTGGCCATAAATACTTACCTGAAAAACCTATGTACCATCGCACCAGAAGTTCTCGACCCGATGAAATCAGAGACGAACCCTTCACACAAGAATTAAATAACAAACAAATTGTGACTTCGACCAAAACAATTTGGAAATACGAACAACGACGGCGTTGATGACACGGATTGCCCAACAATTTTAACTAAACCTAACTTAGACAGCATCATTGTGAAAGTAATCGAATCGATCCAGCCTGTTTGAAGGCACCGAAGAATTCATCGCTGCACGTTACTCTCTTACATCCAGATTTTTGTTGTTTCAGTAACTTGTTTTCTGCATTCGTTATTTAGCAAACACGAACACATACTCATTTGTGATATGAATCAGATTTTTTATTGATCTGGTCCTACTGGATGCGCTTGACCAAACCACTGGAAATGTAAACAGATTCGAGTAAAAGTAGAAGGAAGGACATTATTTAGCTGAGAAAACAAAACTTTCGCTTTTTTTCAACAAAGGTTCCTTCCCTAAATAATCAAACTTCAATTTTCTAACTCAGAAAACAATGAACGTTTTTGTATGAATTGACTATTATAGTGAACAAGTCGCGACGCTCAATACACAAAACTGTCTAAGCTTTCGTCAGTTTTACACGTCAGCAAAACAGTTTTCATGAAACTTGTTTTCTGGAAAAACTAGAGATCAAAGGCGGAAATATAAACTGACCAGGTGATTTTTGCCCGGTCGGAACCGTTCCTTTTCCGGCGATTTCCGTGCAACCGGATTTCGGGGGGGGGGAGGAAATCCGGCGAATTCCGTTCCGTTACAGCGTTTTCTGTTTGGATCCGACCGGAAAGGAGTCGGAATTTTCCGATGAAATCCGGCCGGAATTCGGTTGCAAGGAAATAGCCGAAAATAACGGAACCGACAGAAAAAGTAACGGAACTCAACGGGATTCCACCGTTTTTTAACGGTTTCGGCGATCGAAACGATCGATCTGGGTATTCATAGTTTGAAAAGTTTGAGTGTCCAGTAAACGAGGAACAGCTGAAAGTATGTACAGCGTTTGTACACTGCGAACTGTTTGTTTTTCAAAGTTAAGATGCAAAAAATTCAAAAGAATAGCAAAACGGATAACCTGTGTATTATTATACATGGTTAGATAGATCTCATGATTCTGATTTCGAATATCTACTCGGCTTTCTTTTTCGTCCAAGCTTTAGCAGAGAAACGATCAAAATACGAGATGCTTTGCAAAGAGTTACAGAACCACCAATAAGCAGTAAACTTGAAATCTCCGCTATTTCCGCTCACTGCAGTTTGGGAGTCGTATTCATTATCAAACAAATAAAATACGGAATGCCTATTGCCATTTACAGAAGTATCAATAAGATGCTATTGCCACGTTCGGAAGTGTCACTAAGGAGCTAATGCCATTTTCTGAAAGTGTCAACTAGAAGCTATTGCCACTTCCCGACCTGGCAGCAAGCAGCTATTGCCACGTACAAGAAGTGTCAATAAGAAGCTATTGCCACTTCCAATAGAAAGTGTCAATAAGAAGCTATTGCCACTTCGAAATTCCCTTGTAATATTCTTAGAAATAAATAAAATTTTAATTGAACTGGTTTAACATAAAATTTGATTTATCCCTACAGGAATATTTTAATATTCCCAGCAAACAAGTTCTGTCGCCTATTTCAACTATTCCTACAGGAATAAATACAATTTTTCTTCGGACTAGACGAAGAATAGTGAATGAATTTAGAATTTCAAGGGATCTTTGGAGAACCACTCAGGTTCACCAAGAATTCAGGTAGGAACAAGTTCAATTTTTTATGTGCACAATAGTGTACAACTCGTGCACTTTAAACTAGTATAAAAGATGGAAATGGGTCTATCCTAATTAGTGTAATGTTCGTTCGCGAAGTTGGTGCAATACGAAATGAGTTTACAGTAAGCACTCGCCTCCTTGAATATAAAAAAGATGAACATTTGATGAAAATATAAAATTTGTTACTTTCTGATTTTATTCTTTAAACAGAAAAATGTCTGCTCTTATAAAGATGTCTGTT